ACAATTCCTACTATGAAATTCCTTGGTGAAATGTATTCTACTGAATCTCTGGCTTTTTGTGTGAAGTTGTGACCCTTTGCAAAACTTAAGTCTTTATAAACCACTACTTTTCTATTTATTTTAGCATCGCTATGTATTTCCATCAATCTTCCCATGAACTTTGAGCAGACTTCCGGTCTCTCCTAAAGAAAAGCTTCCTTAAACCATTTTTCAACCTAGAGATTGTTTCCAGGATGTTGCTCACTTTTAGTTTTTCACTGCAAGACGAGTTTATTAAAACATTTAAGGAGTTTTACAATGCTATAAACATAAGAAAAGAAAGCAGGGAATGCTGCATTACAGCGACATATCAAAGGCGGGTAAAAAAGAAGTTGGACTCTAAACTTAAACTAATGATATATTTGTGAGAAATTTTAATAGAACATTCCAAGTTAGCTCTAAAAAACTGGTGTTTAAACTTGATTTAAAAAGAACATAGGGCTTTTACAGTCATCTGGGGGTTCAGCCCTTAAAAGTGGAGCATAGGAACTGAATGCTGCCTTTCATGTTTGGTTCTCCTACTGGATATGGCAAGTAGATTTAAACAGAGGGCACTAGAGGTCTGATGGGTTGACCTACTGACATTAACTGTATAATGTAATTGAATGCAACCTATTCAGTGATTTATAGACTAAACTATTTAGGGTCTATTCTATTCAATCCAGGGAGCCAGTTTAACCTCCAATGTGCTGCCCTTTTCTCAGCTGGTGACTCTGCACAAAATATGCACCAATTATAATCGCTAACCTCTCTATATTAATGTATTTATGATTATAACTATTGTGGTAAATTAGAAATCGCACGCATTAGACAAATTAACAGGCTTCATATTAAATTGAGTAATCAAAACATAAGAAGCGGTAAATGTACCAAAATAAGCAACAAATATTGCTTCTCTGCACTCAGTGTCCTCACTGAGGGTTTCATGGGTTTTTGTACCTGCAAAAAATGGAGTGAAAAGTGGTTTTAACTGTCTTAAGATCCACAGAAAAGCTGTTTTGCTCTGCATTCTGTGTTTTCTCTGTCTTTTACGGTGCAATTTGTGAATGCTCCTTTGGACGCAGCGGACGCAGTATAAATTAGGAGGGTGGAGAAGTTTTCATCGCTGCAGAGCCAGATGCTGTGTAAATTGGGGTAAAGGACTTTAGGAACTGGGGTCTTCTACCTTTGCAGTTGTAATGAGAATGCAGGCAACAGCATGAAACACAAGTTCTTTAATCCTGGAAATGTTCTTCAGGTGATTGAAGCCAACTTTGCCATCTTTATGTGCCAATGAAGTTTGATGTCTGATTCCACAAACACACCAAGATCTCGGGCCTTATAAGAGGTTTCTAGCTCTAGTAGCTAAACTATTGTGAAAATATTGTCTTGTCTTTCGGCAGGTGAAAGTTATGGCAGATCCATAAATTGATTTGTTTTTTAATGCATCATCTTGTGACATCATAGAGCTGTGTGTTGTCTGTATCATTATGGTAACTGATCTTGTTTGTTATAATATAAACTAGAGGAAGTATTGTATGTAGATACTGAATAGAACAGACCCCAGGATGGAACCTTGGGGAACCCCATATATATGTTTGTTTCTGATGTAAATTCACTTACTGACACAAAAAAGCTGTTGCTATTTTTATTTTCCTTGCTGCTCTTCCATAGATTCTGTATTTGTAAAGTTCATAGCTATAGCTTTCCTGTTTGTTTACCTGCATTTCCCCCAGAGTTATCATGGTCCATCTGACTCATCCTCTCATCAATACTCTCCTTGCCCAGACTGTTAGTGTACCTAAATATCTATACAATGTTTTATAATGTTTCCCTTTTCAAATGCTAGATTAAAAAGTGATCTGTAAGTCATTTAAAGGTTTGGATATTGTTATATCACCCAACTATGGTAAGAAGTTCTCCACATTATCCCTGACTTGTCTGCTTTTTTTATTTATTTTTTTATTTTCATCTTCATGATGGTGTTTGTTCATTCAGGCTATCTAAAACGGCTCGAAGGACTCTACAGAACAGCTATGATTTAATTAAATGCATGGAGTTTATTTTCCTTATTGGTTTTTGGTATTTTTGTTTCTTTATTTTAGTCTTAAAATGGGTCTGATAACAAATCCAATACTCCTTTTTAGTTGTAAATAAGTCGAAAAACATGAATCATCATTTATCCACATACTGCAAACATTGAAGGTCCATAAAAAAACGTAAAAAAGGGGAAACTGTATCAGTTTAATCAATATCTATACTTTTTTCAAGAAATTAAATTATCTTCAATAATAGCTTTAGACTTTACTATGCTAAACAATTAATGCCTTGTGAGTCCTTCTAAGGGTAGAAGTGAATTAGCCTGAGCCAGTGTATATCTTCTGGATGGCTTTTAAAGTTCACCACCCTTCCCGTAGAACTCCATCGAGCCTCCAGCCTTTGATCAGTGTTAACATAACGGGTAACCCTGACAGTTTATTTTTTGCTTTTGTCCAAAAAAGACCATTTGTGTCAGTGAACAATCTCCTCTTCCTCTGGCGCATTGGCACACCTCAAAAGAAAAATGTCAGGGTCAGAGACGGGCCATTAGCCCAGAGTGGGCTCTTTTTATGCTCCAAGAAGCCATTGAAAACGCCTTTTTAGTCTTCAACAGATGATGCCGTGACACAACGACGACGAGCTTGACTTGGACCTTGACTTAAAGACAAAAAAAGAAGAGAAAACATTGAAGCCCTCAGGAGGAAAGAATGAATGACACTTTGAATGCCTCATAAAGAGCCTACCTGCTTTACATGGCTACATTGTAATACTTTGTGCGTTAAATTAACTACACAGTCACCCTCTATTCATGGGTATTATAACCTTCCTTTTCACTGAGGTCACACTGTTGGTGCAAATGTCACAGCGCTTTAATGAGAACTCCACTGTACTCCACAATAGGAGCTTTTCAGGCAGATTAAATGTATCACTGTGCTGAAAACTTTCCTCTCCTCCGCCGCCCCTTTGCCCCTATTTTGACAGCGTGGTTTTACAGAGCAGCTTGTTGCTGAAAAACAAGGTTAAGAAAGATCTGTATCAAAGGAGGAGTGTTTTTGTGTGGCTTGCGGGAGAGTCTCGCCTCAGGTTTCCATGTGAAACACAAAGGTGTTTTCTTACCTGATTTGTATTCATTCACACAATGACTGAGACTACCTCTCTTGTTTCCAAGTAAGGAGAGTCCAGACGAGACTTTTGTTTGCCCTATCATTGGATATGTGCTTGTTGCTTCCTGCAGTACGAACCTTGGAGTCCTGCCACATGGCTTTGTCGTAGATGGATTTTCTTTTTCCCCTCCTGCTCCTTTTCCTCTTCTTTGTTGTTTTGTTTATGTTCTAAGAAAGCTTTTAGAGATGTGTGTTTGAGCACTGCTGTTGATTTTTCTGTCTTCTGATACAGTTTTACGGCAGTAATATAAACTGTCAACCGAAGAACTGCCCTGCAGAGTCCAAAACCTACAGTTACAGCACAGTATATTATATTTGCCAGTAGACTGATACTGACAAGGTTTTATCCCCTCTGAAAAGTCTGGAATCCTATTCAGCCATTTTCCAAAACTAAACAAAGTATAGAAAAATATCTAATGCTTTCTTTTATGGAACATCAATAAACATGTAACAACATGGTAATAACATAGCAAGTTGCACTATATTACTAGGTAACAAGAAAAACTTTATTTTATAATTACCCCCAAATTAAGGTATATAATTTCAAAGTAATCACCGACATTTAATTATTACAATTGTATGTAACTATGTAACAATGGAAACTTTTTATTGGGTAAATACCCTAAGGTTACCACATTGGTCACCACCTACCAACAGCTTACAAAGTAAGTTGCAACTTACGATCAGGAAAATAAAGCATTATGAAAGCTGAACTCAAGTTATATATAAATAACAGTTTACTTAAAGGGCAATTTCGTTTTTTTTACATTGGGCCCTTAATTTTACGTTATTACATCATGTTCTACTCACCCATATTAGTTTTGTCTCATTTGGAGTCGTTCTGAAGATATTCCGTTAGGTTATATCCAAGGTACGTCTACCTATGGGCAACGACTTAAAGGCACAAACTGAACTGTTCATGATTTGTTCTTTATGCTTTATATTCGGCTAGCTAATCGGAATCGTTCAATTCCATTTGGAGAGCGAGATCATCTGTGGTAGTAGCACTAGACTTCTTCCAGGCATGTGGGTAAAACTAGCAGCAGTTCAACGGACAGGAAGAATGAATGGTAGCCGGCGCGCACGGATGACTTCATTCACACTCCGCTTTGTTTTTAAAAAAATAGAAATATAAAAAAATATAACCACGGATGTTTGGGGGACAGTGATTCGCCTACATGTTATGAATGCTGGCGTACCATAAATGATCAATTATGAACAGTTTGGTTTGTGCCTTCAACTCGTTGCCCATAGGAAGACGTTACTTGGATATAACCTAACGGATTATCTTCAGAACAGCTCCAAATGACACAAAATTCATATGGGTGAGTAGAACATAATGTAATAACGTAAAATCAAGGGCCAAATGTAAAAAAAAACGGCGTTCCCCTTTAAAAAGAGGTTACCTGCTAATAACTCTTTGAAATCTAAGAAGTCTGAAATTGCTTGGTCTGCCTAAAATTTGAAGCACAGGACTTACAAAAACGTTTTTCTTGTTACCTAGTAACATAGTGTAACTTGCTATGTTGTTAGCATGTTATTACTTGATTATTGATGTACTGTAAAAGAAAGCATTCCCAAAAACGATTTATGTCTCGACATTTCGTCCATTAACCATTCACTGGATTATGATGTTGGACAATTCATAATTTTAAAAAATAACATACCCGGTATGTACAAAATCATTTCTGCTATGATTCTGTTGATTTAGTTGATGTAATGTCCAGCCCTGCAAAACCAGCAGCAAACCTCACTGTCCTCTCACCTCTTCTGTTCTAGGGTTTCTTCCTGACTGTTTCTCCGGAGTCGATCCTGAAGGTGGCAAAGCATGCTTCGGAAAACAACAAAATCTTCTGCATGAACCTCTCGGCACCATTCATCAGCCAGTTTTTTAAAGAGCCGCTGATGAAGGTGATGCCGTATGTTGACATCTTGTTTGGCAACGAAACGGTAAGTAAAACAAAAAACAAAACATAAAATGCAATTTTACATAACGAAGCTGGGGTAAATACATAATCATAAGGTAAACACGCCCAACAAGTTAATAAAAAATAAATATTTTATATTTTTTTGGGGGGGAATGTTTTTATTTATTTTATTTCTTATTTTACGGTCTGTGCTATGCATCACTGCTTGTGTAGCTACATTTTATCCTTCATGAGCACCAATACAGATAAATGCAAGAAACATAAACCTCTTTTACCTTTAATTGCTTTTATAAGCCAAACCAGGGTAAAAAAAAAAACCTTGTTTTTTTTTAGAATAAATGCAAAAAATATATGTTCTGAAGGGTGTTTTGAAAAAAAAAAAAGGTGTTTTAGGCATATTGAATGCTGCTTCTGTTGAGTAGTTTTTCAGTGCTGACCCTTTGGCTGCAGTCACAGCATTGAGTCTGTGTGCATGCATCTCAATTAACCTGACCCTCCTGAAGACACTACTTTTTACTCCCTCCTTATCTTGCAAAATAGCTTAAACTCTCTGAGCCGTTAACTGCTCTTGAAAGAATTCCTGTTTCCCTGGAGTATAAATGTCACATGATGCAAAGGGCCATTACTGTTTTTAGAATGAGAAAGACAAGAGCACATTCTGTTGAGGTCAAACAAAGACAGGAAATGGATCCTAGAAAATGAACCACAATTCAAAAACTTATAACCAAGATCTTTGTTACTTAATTTATTTTTTGCATCTGTATTATTTATTTTTGCAATATCTTTATTTTTTTTGTTTGATATCTCCTTTGGTTCAACTTTTCTTGGTTAAAGTGGATGGTTTCAGCACTTACTGAAGGTATTGCTGCAGAATATTTTACAAAAGCTCATCTCCTATGACTGTTATACTTGTGACTTTTTACATTGACCCTTTTTTAAAAGTGTTAACATTAAAGCCGCATATCTCTCACCTTTAAGGCTGCCTTTGCAGCTCAGCTAACTTTAGCGAACTGGGCTAAAGGTGAAATGAACCACTGCAAACACCAAAGGCACCCTTTTCCCTTGAGTAAACTGGTCTCTGAGAAAATGTGTGGAAATGTTATCTTTGTTTTTTTATTTCTTTTTACAGAAAAAAGGTTTAGATTTATAAGAAATAGCTGAGTAGTGTAGGTTCACACCAAAACTCGTCTGTTGCAAGAGCTCAAAGCTTCCACATTGCTCAGACCCTCTAACAGCTCCCACTGCAAGGGTTTGTGTCCTTTCTTTGTGTAATGGCAGTTTCACACTGTGCTGCAGAGGTAATCAGCTGATTCTGCTTGTGCCTGACATGAAAAGCAACCTAGAAAGAAAAATAGCTACTAAAAGAAAAAACAGTTTAGCTGAGGTTTCAATACAGCACTGAGGATCAATATGTGGAGCAGAAGCATTTTATTGGATTTTCCATCTCTTGTGGATTCAAATAAGTCTTCACCAAACGCTATATATCTATGAACTATACTAAAAGTTAGCTTGGAATAGCTTATAAAAGTGTAACTTGTAGTTTAAAGTAAAGTCATTCAATTGAAAAACCAAAATATCTTAAATTTCAAACCTCTATGAACATAGTTCTTCACAAAATCTGCTATTGTGCATAAAACCTCCTTAAATCATATTGTAAGATAGGCTTCCACCTACCTAGAACTGTATGTGATACTTCACTTCACTACATCTTCTAACTGCATGTAGTTCATGCTATTTTAGGTGATATTTCCATTGTTTATTTTTTTACTCCAATTTTCATGGTAGGAAACTGTCTGGCATTTGTGTTTTCCGTGTTTAAAGATCTTTATCTGCTTGCCTTGAGTATCCAGGTACCACTTTACCATCATCAAAGGTTGTGAACAATGCTGCTCAGACAGGTTTGCTTTAAACGATGGTTATTGTAGGAGTTGTTGGATGAGTTTTTCGAAAGTTATACTATTAGTTCCCTCACCTGTAGCAGATGGTGAAGAGAAGTAGTGAAATCCAAATAGCGACAAAAGCTAAACACTTGTTACCGGCAAGTTATTTCTGGTAGTATCCAACTAAGGATATATTTGTTGGATGTGATGATGTATAGTGAATGTTTAATGTTTTTCATTATAAAAACTTAAACAAATTACTATTTTTTACAGTTCACTGTATGTGACTAATCAGCTTAAAGTCAATAGGGGAAAGTTGCACATTTTTGGAATTGGTAACATTCTATTATTTTCTGCTGTTTTCCTTATCTCTAAGGCCCCATCCACACGAAGTCAAAACGAACACGAAACGCTGATATTTTCCAAAACGTTTGCCGTAAAGACGGAGACGTAAAATAAATGTGAGCGTCCACACGAATGCATGAAAACGCTGCAAAATGTATGCAAGGCCTGTAAGTTGCGCTGTCGTGCCAAAGCAAAAATAGGCGACGAAATGTTGGGCATGCGCACTAATATTTATACATGGTTGCCCTGCGGGTCCATTTTCGTGGTTAAGTCAAATTCAGGTGCTGAACTATGTCGTCGATATTGCTCTGTTCTTCCTGGAGATATTCCAGAAGAAGAAGATTCTGTTGTAAGCCCGACAGCAGGGTGAGTAGCATGAGCAGCAACGGCGCCATTGTTGTTGTGATACTGGTCGCGCATGCGTGTTTAGAGGCGACGCTATGACGCATGCGTGTAAAAAAAAATATGCGGTTAGAGCGTAAAGATGGAAACGCGAAAACGGCGTTTCGAAATCTTCCCACTCTGAAGGCTCAATAAAAAAAAGATCGTTTACAGACCCCCGAAACGCCGGCTTCGTGTGGATGAGAGGCTGGTTTGGTGAAAAATTTGTGCTTTTAGGCCAGGGTTCGTCTTCGTGTGGACGGGGCCTAAGCCTCTGTCTAGATGCAACCTGGTTTTCCGTATTTCTAGCAAACTTCTGGGACAGGGGGCCCCATCCAGCCAAAGCGGCAGTGAAAATGTCTACATTTTTTGGTACTACTTGATCCCAGATATGGAAGGTTTCAAACCATCCCCTGTGGTGCATGTGGGCGAATGTTGTGGAGTTGTGGTTGTGTTTCAGATGCTCTTCAGTGCATCTTTACCTTAAACTTGTCTGTACAGGCACAGTACTTGGATCAATGCGGAGGTACTTAGCCTATAAAACCTGCCTGCAGGATCTCTCATGAAATAATTATATTTATACCTGGAAAAATTTAGTTTAAAAGAAAAATATGTAAAAATGTAAACAATTTTCCCCAGAGAAACTATTTAAACCTCAGAAATAAAAATGTTCTAAAAAAAAAAGTGCTTTTTCTCAAACATTTCTGGATAGATAGATAGATAGATAGATAGATAGATAGATAGATAGATAGATAGATAGATAGATAGATAGATAGATAGATAGATAGATAGATAGATAGATAGATAGATAGATAGATAGATAGATAGATAGATAGATAGATAGATAGTAACTTAATAAAGAATGTATGTATAATCTTTAAAAAAAATGTAAATACCATGGACATGTTTATTATGTTTTAGCAATAGTAACCATTTATGTTTTTTGGCATATAGTTCATGGTAGCTGAATTAGGAAGTGGGTGACTGGCTGCAGCGAAGTGTAGGAGCGCAAGCTCAGCCTGGCGGTTCTTCCACTTCATGTTGCGTGGGTGCATGGGAAACCTTCAAAATGGACTTAAAAATCCCGTGCATACAGTACTTTGTCAAGATCATATTTAATCATCAGAGATTAGCGTTGTATATTCATGAAAGCTGCTTCTATCGTTGAAGCATCTTATTTTCAAAAATCAATCAGATAAACATGGAATATTGATGATGTTTTGAAGACATTTCCAGTTCCCATGGTCCTTGAACACAACAGCCTAGAATAGTTTATTCAGTTGTGTTGGGCTGTTAGTCATTATTCAACACCCCTGTCATCTAAGGCCCCACCCCACGCCAAAACAGGGCTATGGATTTGAAGCTGGAAAAAAATCTGCAAGTTCATAAAATAAAATTTGCAAGTAATAAAAGAAAACAACTTGTATCTTAAAAGGTTTTCTGTTGAATCAACTTTTATTTTTCAGTTTTTTTGGGGAGTTTTTTTTTATTAAGAAACGTTTCCTTCAGGTTTCATTTTTTTTTTCTTTTTTTTTTCTTGGGGAAAAACTTTATGGCCTCAATTCAGCTCCATAAAAACACAAAAATAACAAATAAGCCAACAGGACACAGTTATGTTTTAAGAAAAAATTTGTCTGCAACCAGACTGAGCTACTGGGATTTACATTTAAAAAAGTTAATATAATATGCTTTTCCACCTTCAAATTAGTGCTACTTTTACTTCAAACAAAAGTTTTAGCACTCTACCCACCTCTGCATGTAGTATTTTAAAGACATAAAACCTTTATTTTTATGCCATTTGCCTTACCAGAAAAAAATGTGTCTTTTCTGCAAGTTCCCTTAGTTAAATGATGATTCCTTAATGCACCACCTTACCGCTGTCCTTTTTAATGAGAACCTTCTTCAACAACTTTTTGCAGCTTTCTGCCATGCATATGCTGCAGTGTTTCCAAATAATTGCATCTCTAACAGTGGAGCAGAATGTCACATAATGCACTGTGGGTAGCAAGTGACATCAGCTCTTCTCTAGTTATTAGATATTACTTACTTTACTTAGTGAAGTTTTATGCTGACTGTGTGAGACAGTTAGCGGTAATAAAAATGTAGCAGAAGATTACATCCCCCATTACCTGCTGTACACCCACATTGTAGGGAAAAACTGTATATGGAATAAGCCCATAAATTTGCTATAGCAGAAAAAGCTTAACTCTTTTAAAATACTTTTTTTGTAATTGAAAAGCAGATGATTTTGACCCAGCAGTCAGCATTTAGGACCCTTTGAAGGATTTCCACATTAGGCTAACATATCATATCACTTTGTTTAAATCAAAACTCTGTATCCATTGTTTGATTTCCCTAATTGATCTCCTCCATATCCATTTAACGTCTCACTTATTATGGCCCCATAAAGAGATTA